GGGACTTAAGTAAACCTAATGGATGGGTTATGTATTTTGTACGAGGCTACCATGAAAATATTGATGAAGTCCCAAGTGTGGATTGAATTTCCAAAATGGTATGGACATAAAGAGTTTGGTGCTTATGAGATATGGAATGTGGTTCATGATGCATTACGTGCATCATGTGCATATAAGAATGGATTAAATTGAGAAAAACCATTATGTCGAAACGATGAGGTTTGGTAATTGAATCGGATGGAATTGGATAAGTTTGATAACCTACTTGGATTAAACGAGTATTAGCAGTCCAATTTGTGTGCGTACTTTAAGCTATGTGCTCGCATTGTTAGACGATGGACTTTCGCTAACAAGTGGCTACAACGAGGGATAATTTAGTTGTTAGTAGAAGGTGATTCATTAATCACCTAGATTAAAAATAAAGTAGACTTGCTAATACATAAGGTATCCGAAATTAAAATTTGATGAGTGAAAGTGGGGGAGTCGGAAAATCATTACATATCACGTGCATCACCCTACTTATTGAGCTTCGGCTCACTCGTGTTTATTTTATGCCACGACGAGTAGAGGCGATAATAATGCCGATAATGAAGTCGTCGGTTCCTCCTAGAAAAAGGCTCATGTATGACGCGTGAACTATAGGATTCACTTTTACATGTAATAATACCTACATTATTTTATAACTTTTATAATGATATTCGGTATATTATGTATTTGGTATGTGATTATATTTGAGACTTCGATATCTAAACCGTGACACACCTAGCCATGCCTTTTGGGTAATCGACAAAGGAGTCGGGGGCACAAAAATTATCCAAATGACTTGTCGTTCGCTACAACCCAAAATCAATCCCTAGTACTCTTCATTGTCTTTAATGAGGACAATTGATCCAAAAGACAAACGATCATTGACCGATAATTGTATCGGCTAAGAATCGTGTTGGATCACACTCGTACCACACCCTTACCCACCTCTAAACCACAATTGCACCACACACACACACACGCACACACACACACACACTACATTTAGTTTTGATTTTGGCTTTATGCATAAACATCCAAAAACACCAAGAGTGTATGTTTTTTAATTTCTAGTTGGAAAAGTTAGGATTTGATTGGGTTTTAGGGTTGATGATGGATTGAATAGGTATAAAAAGAGCATATTTAGGATGAATTAAGAAGGATTTTTTTTTTTTTTTGTGGAAAAGTTCTAGGTTTAAGAAGAAAACATTCTAGGGTTTTGGGGGAGAGGATTTTAGTTCCAAAATCGATATTCAAGCCTCGTTAGTCCAAAAAAACCTAGAAAAAAGAATAAGAAAAAAGGGAAAGAAGAACTTTGGCATTGGAATTCATCTTAGTTTTGGACATTCAAGAAAAAGAGGGATTTTGACAAGATAAACCTACATTGTCCATTCATTCATCTCAATTAAGTTTTCAACGAGTAAATCTCCTAGTTCATTTCATTCATTCCAATTCAAATCATCTCTATTATTTGGTTTTTGGATAGGTGAGGATGGAAGCAATAATCTCACCACTATCATCCTAAAAAAATAAAATTTTGACAATTTTGTTTAACTCCCTTGGTTTTATGCATCATCATGATTTGTAGAGGGAACAATTAGGTTTTGATCTAAAAACTTATGTTAGAACCCCCTCTTGATTCAATCGAATAGTAATATGCAAAAACACAAATGAGAAATAGTTTGGGTTCAAGGAGAAGAAGAGAAAGGAATGGCTAGAGGGGAAAGAAAAAAAAGGGGTTTGGGCTAGGAGATGTGTGGGCTAGGCTTGATTGGTGTTGTTTAGGTTTGGTCCAAAAGATGGGCTTTAGGCTGGGTTTTATATGCTTGAATTTAGGTTGGTTTCGGTCGAGCTGGCCCAAGGTTGGGGTTGGTCCAAAGTGAATGTGAGCCTAATGGACTTAAAGACCCAATGAGTTTTCAAACTTTTATAGTTTATTTAACTAGCTTCCATTGTTCATTTTAATTTGAAATTTTAGGTGTGTTGCATGTTTTTATTTTCAGCTTAATTTTAATTTTTTTAGAATATTTGAAGTTCATTTACCCCTTTATTCCGAATTTATGCCTAGGTATTAATTGCATTAATCATTTAAATTTCAGTTTAGCCTATTTGTTTAATGTTATTTAAATCCAAAAATTTTAGTAGATGATTCTAGGCTTGTATGTAGATTATGTGTTAAATATTTAAATTTTTTGAATTAATTTCAGATTCATTTAGCATTAAACATTACTTAATATTCACTAGTTTAATCGAGAAACTAATATGATAATGGATAGTCGAATCACCAAAATTTTAGGGATTAGCGACAATCCTTCACCCATATCAAAGCTAAAAAGGTTAAAAAAAATGATAAAAAAATACATAAAAAAATATATAAATAAGAAAGAGGAAATAACAAAAAATAAAAAATAAAAAAATAGAGAGAATACTAAGTTAATTTAACAAGTCTCATATTTAATAGGAATTGATGTCATTAAATCAAATTAATCACCCTTAGTAATTAGGTCATTTTTCGACATACCGCTTATGTCGAGATTTAAAAATTGAATCCGATGTTGAATTGACGAGACTCTCGGTGTTAGGGTTTGACGATTAGTTCAATATGATGTCATAAAAAAGATAAAAAAATAATTTGGTTAAGGTAATAAACTTAGAAATTAACATATAAATGATTTGGAAAAAATAGAAATTTTTAGGAAATAAATTTTTAGGATTAAATTAGATATGTTACCTTTTCTCTAAAAAGGTGTTTTTGAGTGATTGATATGTTTCCAAAGATATAACTAATTTCTTATTTTAGAATCTCTCAATCAATGTTTTTTTATTTTATTTTATTTTAGGTTTTCTACTTTTCTTTAATATTAGGTGACGACTCAAAAAACGTTAGTTAATTCACATCCCCAAAAATAAACAAAAGCAATCAAAATAAATAAAAAATACAATAATTTTTGAAAGTCTTCTAAATGTTGGATAGCGACAAGGGTAATGTTTTTTTATTTTTTAATATTTAGTATTAACTTATTAATAAAAATGTTTTTTTTTCTTTAAGTTTGGATGGAGATGCTATTATTTGAGATCTACTTAGCCACTTATATCTCAATAATTGGTTGTCGTTAATGGTAATTATTAAGTAAGATAAACGAGTTGACGAAGTTATAATAAAAGATTTGAATTAATAAATTTTTAAAAATAAAGAGTTTAAATCAAATAAAAAAATAGAAGGTCTCAATAATAATAATAATAAAAAAAGTATAAAGTCTGAACTTGGGATAGACTTCTTAATGAAGCCATCGCTTTGTATAATGATGTATTGCAAGATTCTCCATGAATTATATGTTTTGGACATAACTACTAAATTTGGAACTACACGGATCAGCTTCCAAGTGATTGGTCTAGGTTGTAAGGAGAAGACTTTTTCAAGTTTTCAGGTTCAAGTCCCATCATTGATTTTTTCAGAAGTAATATATTTACCTTCGATCAACCTTCATTTGCAAAGATAATCTTTAAGTTTTGGCATATTGGTGCAATGAAAGCCCTTCCAAATATGTGTGAATGTAAAATGCGTAATATTTGCTGTAGAGTGCTTGGTCAATCTATCGGTACATATATTAGATCAGTTTTCAAGTATTGACCAGTCTGCAAATCTTTTTAAGCTTAAAACAACGGTATAAATATTATCTTTTTGTTTGATTTGAACGTTATCACTCATCAAAAGCCCTTTGAAAAAAATTAATTTTTGACATTCTGAGTTGTAAATTTTCATAGATGTTAAGGAAAATTTAATCTACTTTCACAAATAATTTCAAAATTTTTGAAGTTAGAGATGATTGGTTTTATTTTATTAGCAATAAAAGTTCAATAAATTTTGAAAAATAGAAAATAAATTGGAATTATCTCAATTTTTTTTAAAAAAACTCTAAAGAGGTCATATAAATTTACATATATAAATCTAGGGTGGTTCTAAAATAGTTGTATATGCAGTTTTTAAAATTAACCTATTTCAAATTTTGGTTTGGTGTAATGCATTTAACTATGCAAATATTTCTAGAATCATATTAAAGCTAAGAAAATAAATATTTATGAATTTTTTAGCCTAAAAAATGATCATTTCAAATGATTTTCTATTTTTAATTTTTTTTTGAATATTTAATGTTTAATTTTTTTAAAAAAATAATTCATAATCTCAAAATTTTCAATTCAAAGTACCAAAAATTTAATATTTTAAAGAAGTTTATGGTTAATGATAACACTAAAATCAAACGAGTCAAATAATATTTATTCAATATATCATAATTCAAAATTAACCAAATTAATTGTATAAATCTCAATATAGAAAAACTATAATAATTCAGGGGTAAAAGATTGTTGACTTAATACCCTTATCTATCCTCATATATTAAGCTAATTTTCCGATCTGTTATTATATTTTAAAACGCCTCAAATCTATCCTTATTATTTAAGTTGATTTTTAATATATTCTTTTAGTTCAATTTTTTAGCAAAATTAAATATGTGATTTGACAAAATTATCTTTGTTATTTGATACAAGTGATTTATATCTACTAATATGAAAATTGATTTTTTATAAATTGGTCAAAAACTTTTACTAAAAAGATCAATTAGAAACTATCTCAAATAATAAGGACATATTAAAAGTGTCTTCAAATCTAAAAAAAAATTAAAAAATTAATCTATTATATAAATTATACAAGGATATGTGAGGGTATCATCCTAAAATTATAATTAAACCTGTAAACAACCTTAGAATTAGTTTAACCTCTCTCTTTCCCCATCAAAATCTATAAAATCCCCATTCATGGGCCTAACTAGTATTCCAAGCCCAGTCCATATCAAACTTCCAAATCCCGTCTTTTACCACAACGTCAACCTTGCTTAAACCCTAAACACAAATCTCTCAAAAGTCCCTCTTTTTCTTGCTCTCCAGCACCGAGTGAACTCGCCAAACTCGAAACAGCCATGGCGGACACAGTCCAATACAAGCTCGAGCGGATGGTCGACGAGCTAGACGACCTAGAACGTAAAGGCATATTCACGCGGCAAGAAATAGCAGAGATAGTGAAACAAAGAAGAAAATTTGAGTACAGATTGAAGAGGCCAAGTCCTTTAAAGCAAGATTTCTTAGCTTACATTGAATACGAGACCCAACTCAACTCACTACGTAGACTACGAAAGAAATCAGTGGCCCGTGAGTTGGTAAAGCAAGGGGTTAAAAAGAGGAGGAGATTTAGAAAGTCTGTTTCTGATTTTGCTGGGGTTTCAAGGATTGTTGAGATTTATAGACTTGCTGTTATGAGGTTTAAGGGAGATATAGAGCTTTGGTTTAGGTATTTGGAGTTTTGTAAGGATAATAAGAATGGGAGAATGAAAAAGGTGAGAGCTTTTATTTTGGATTTTTTTTTAATGATGGATTGTCGTCTGTGTTTTTCTGTTTGCTTAGTGTTATTCTCTCTGTGTTAATTGGTGTTATTTATTTAATTATTATTTTTTGTGGATTTAAGGGTACCCTTTTGGGTTATATGCTGTTTGGTTATCTAGGTTTTTGGTTTTTTTTTTTGGATGTGCAGTTGTATGTTTGATTGCTTGGGTTAGTGTTATTCAGTGTACTATTGATGTTGTTTTTTTGGAGAATTAAAATTGCCTTTGGTTTTTATCTTGTTTTAGGTGTTCAGTTGTTTGTGCTTTTGGGTTTTGGAGCGATGTTGCTGTTTCTGCTTTGTTCATTTCATATATATTGGTAATTATTGTCATTGTGGAGGAAGGATTTTTTCGTTTTTCAGTGAAATCATGTCTTTTTTTTTTTTTTTGTACATTTGTAGGTTTTGGCTCAATTAATTAGGTTTCATCCAAAAGTGCCTGGAGTTTGGATTTATGCTGCAGCTTGGGAATTTGATCATAACTTGAATGTTTCAGCTGCTCGTGCTCTTATGCAGAATGGTTTGCGGGTATGTCCACATTCAGAGGAGCTTTGGGTAGAGTATCTTCGGATGGAATTGACATATCTTAACAAGTTAAAGGCACGGAAGGTTGCGCTTGGAGAGGAAAAGGAAAATGTGGCTCATGATTATGATATGTTGCTTGATGAAGAAAGAGGAAATGACGATGGATCAAATGCTGTTACTGAGGAGTCAGAGAAGAAAGTGGATTTGTTTCGAGAGAAAGGTTTGAGTATTCTTCAGACAATCTATACTGGAGCTGTTGAAGCTCTCCCTTCTAGTTTTGGCTTGAGAAAGAGGTTATTGGAGATACTGGAAGCAACAGACTTGACACATTCGGAAGAAATGCATAAGGAGATGCTAAGTGATATGAAAAGAGACTTTTCGAGCGAACCAGAATATTGGGACTGGCTTGCAAGACTTGAAATGGCTGATTCTAAAAGTATGCCGGAGATGAGTGAAACTCTAGAGCTTTCTCAGTTGCAAAAAGCAATTCAGGTATAATTTTTGTGAACAAGTGAAATTCTGATATCTGACAAGTATTCTAGTGGTTGGTTTAAAAATTTCAAACATAGGTATATAATCTGAATGCTTTTCAGATGATGTGCCGTGTGATCTCTCATGGTAATGGTTGATTTGCTGTATGTAGGTATATGAGGAAGCTTTACAATTTGTCCCTTCTTCAATGATGTTTAATTTATACATAAAGTTTTTGATGGAAGCTATTGCTCCCAATGGAGGAGAAAATGAGCCTTCTAAGTTATCCAGCCCCACTAAAGATTATATTTCACATCTTCTGGTGGTATATGAGAAGGCTGAGGCGGTGGGATGCATTACTGAGGTTCTTGCTTGTCAGTATGTTTCATTTTACTTGCAACTAGGTCGGTTTGATGAAGCCAGAAGACTAGCAGACAGGCTTTGCAGTGGAAAACTCTCAGATTCAGTAAAGTTGTGGAGTTTAAGGGCCTCTATGGAAATTAAATATTTTACTACAGACACTTTTACACCAAATAAGGATGATTTGCAATCTGTGTTGGGACTCCTTAGAAGTGCATTGACCAAAGTGTCATTATCACAAGCTGAGGACTTATGGCTAATGGTATGCTATCTATTCTCCTGTACTCTTACCTGTTACCTGCTGTTAAAGATTGTGGCAATTGTTATGAAAAAAAAAAAGAAGCGAATTTAATGCTTCCAGTCCCTGTTGATCTACTTTTTCTATTAGTTCTCGTTTAGAGCTGTCTGTTGAGAAATATGTTACTGTCTTTGTAAATTTTTGCCTGTACAGAAATGCGATCAAGTTAGGGCAGCTCTATTGTCTTGTAAAGTTAAAATAAACGAACAAATTAATAATATATTGAAGCATCTGTACTTCTCTTTTCATTTTTCTTTTCTCCCTCCCCTAGTTGTCTTCCTTTAGCGTCTGAGGTTTGCTTCTTTTTGTTTGAATATCATGCAAAACTGTCTCTGCTAATATTATAATGGATTAATCAAAGCAACATTAGCTCTTGACGCCATGATTCAATTGTTTTGTTTTCAAATAATTTGCTTTTTGTTGAACTACTATTTTTCTTTTTGATGTTTTAACCTTGTTTGTAATCTATCAGAAGCAACTAAAACTCTTTTAAGGTCCAAACCAATTTTAATATCATCTCATGTTGCAGGCACTCAAGTTTTTTGCAAAAGAGAAAAAGTATTTGGACAAGCTGGTTGAAATGTCTCTCATCTCAGCAGCCAAAGATGGTGGTAGTGATGATGGATTTTCCCTCCCTTTTGCTGTCGTAAATTTTATGCTTCAGAAGGATGGAATTCAGCAAGCAAGAAAGACATATAAGCGGTAAGTTACTAAATTAACAGTTAAAGAAAGTTGTCTGTAAAGTGCCTGCTCAATGTTGTAATTAGCTGTGAAAACAGTAGTTGACTTGCTATATACAAAAAGCCTTTCCAGTTCTGAAGATAACTTGCAAGTTTAAGAGGGTTCTGGTTGCACTGTATTTTAAAAATCCAAACCCTATAATCTGCCTCTAGTTTTCTATTTACTTTCCCAATTAATTAGTAATAGCTAAACCTGCATCTTGATTTTGGTTGCAGATTTCTCGCACTACCCCATCCTGGTCTTGCTTTTTACAGACATTGCATCGAGTTGGAAGTGAACCTTGCATCTGGTGGTGATAAAGATTGCCTTGCAAATGCCCGAAAATTATATGAATCTGCACTTGCAACTTATGACCAGAATGTGAGCCTGTGGCAAGATTACCACACAATGGAGATTAAGGTAATCTTTCTGTACTTTTTTACTTTCTTTATAGTACTTTGTCTTTCTTGTATTCTACTCCAAGCCACCCACTTTGTGCATAAAATGCATTAATAAGTGGCAATGCTCTATGAGCATACCCGAATGGCTGGATTGATAAAAGGAATTCATGTTCTGCGCTTTTCAACTGGAAATTCAAATCCACTTGGTCTTTTATGGCCCAACTTAATGCACATGGGACTGCACTACGGGCTCTGTCATTGCCCCACTCCTAACATTACTCATTCCTTCATGTTGTATTATCTTCGAAATCTGCATTGTATTGGTTGGCCACCTCATTGTGATTTGGACAAATTTTTTGATATCGGTCAATATTAATTACTGTTAACTTTTTGCACTACAACAGTTGGGAACATCGGAAACAGCAAATGCCGTTTATTGGCGTGCACGGAAGACTCTCAAAAACTCTGCTGCATTTGTTGCTGCTCCAGATTTGTAATAATTCAATTGTATGCTTGCTACTTCCAATTTTGACTAAGGTACCAATTTCTTATTCATTCGTGTAACTGAGGAGAAGGTATATGAAAAGAGTAACATTCATTTCATCAAATCTCTCTCTATCTCACACATGTAGTTGGGTCCATAAGTGGTAGAAGGAAGCATGAAATTCATCCCATTTTGTTTGGCTACTAGAGCTGCTGGGTGACGGAATGATTTTCCCTACTTCAGTTGGTTAGGAGATAAAGAACATGCATGGCATAACCAAATCTGGCCATTGTATCCCCCTCGTGAGGCTTTACTCATGTTTAAATTTGTAATTTTATGAAAATATTTCTGGAAAGATCACTTATTGAGTAAGAATGGTGCCCAAGTTTTTATATTCAAGATATATTGAAACAGCAGTTTAATGGAATAGCGAAATCAATTGCGGTAAAAACATTCTGACATTCCAATTGTCTTTTTGCACCCCCATTTATTAGTAATTTGGGATTACCCAAAACCACTCTTCCATGTTTAGAAGATCTTCGGCTCTTCTAGAATATTAGGGCATGGGTTCTTATTAATCGTGGAGAATGACTTTTGACCCATTTCAAAATGAAAATATGTGATTCTTCGTCTAACTGGGGCCCAAGCCCACTCTTTACGAATTGGATTTCATAACAGGGATTAGTTGTACAAATTTATATGACAGGATTATAGAGGAGCTGATTCTTTTTCCCAAAAAAAAAAAAAAAAAAAAAAGGAAGGAAAGCAAATTCTTGTAATTTTCCAATATTTAAGCCCAATCTAAGAAACAAGGCAAGAAAATCTGATTTGCATTCTCTGGGCTAATCTGTAAAGAGCCCTCAATTTTGATTGACAACCCTTGAATTATTATTATTATTTTCAATCCGTGAATCATAGTGTTTTAATTGACGTTTCTTGCGTTACGTTCTATCTATTTTTACGTTAAATAACATACGAATTACACATGTTTCCTTATAAAATATTATTAAAAAATGGGAAAAAAATTAGAAAAATTAACCTCCAATAATATATGATAAAAACATAATTCATAATATGATAAAATTATCATACAGTGAAATTAACCCTCGATATTTTTATGACTTTTTAGTATTTTTCAAAAATAACATGTGATTTGCGGATGATATTTAACGGATAAATCAGACGAAATATAACTAAAAAAAATATCAGTAAAAACACCTTATGGTTCAGAAGTTGAAATAATAATAATAAAATAATTGAGAACAGTCTTAACAAAGATGTTTAGTTACACGAAATTCAGAAACAAATGAAACTCATGCCAGAAGTGAAATTAAATCAAACTATTCGTGAAATGAAAGAAAGGTAATTCGACAATTTTACTGGCAATTTGACAAACTCATGCCAGATCTTTGACATTGATTGTTTGTTTAACAGGGAAGCAGTGGTTTAGTCTTGCTTTTATGATTGCTCAGGTAGCTGCTTTCTTTAGCAGTGTTTTGTGAGTACCTCTGTAAATTATTAGAGTCTTCATCCAAATGTTTCATGGACGTGGAATTAAACTAGACTGGATGCTAGATTGCAAATTTGTCTATACTCTCGTAGAGTACAACTATTCTGCAGACCTTTTTGATAAGGTGAGAGTTCATAGACAGATTTTTTAGCAGATCTGTACTTCTCTTCCTCTGATATGAGTGAGCTTGGGGACAGTTTTGGTTGTCTCCTTTGCTAGGGAGCAGCCTTTAACTTTCCATCCATATATATATACATACATATACATATACATACATATATATGTCTATGTTGTTCATCATTTAATTCCTAGTACTTCATGAATTAATTTGATTGAGAAATGTGTTGACTGTTAAAATTCTATGATTATTTATTGACAGCCTTTAAGCTGTTTCTCAGTTTGACATCTAAGCCGGGTCTTTCTTTGTTTTTTTTTTTTTTTTAATGGACGGAGAATGTTAAAGTTTGTGAAATCATGGGAAATGAGTCACTGAAGTGAATATTGCTTCACAGGGAAATGCTTGTTTTTCTTCTTCGAAGGGAAATATTGCTCGTTAAAATGGCATCCATGTGCCTTATTTTATATCATCTAGCACTTGCTGTTAAAAATTACGTATAAGATGTCACCAGAAGACAATAATGGAAGCGATTCCTTAAACTTGAAAGTTCTTGTAAATTCTGAAATCTAGGCTAACATTTTCAGGCTGGAAAACGAAGATTTTCTTACTCTAAATTGAATTTGGAACCCTGCAATATCGGCCTGAAACAATATTGATAAATTTTCACAAAAAAAAAAAGGAGGATAACTGCATCCCATTTCATGCAGTCCTGGAATAGGCTTCTGGATTTGCAGCGAATTTCACTGGTGGACCATGTAGAATAAAGCTTGAGAAATTTCTATGCAAAGCATTATATTTTAGTAGGATAAAGCTTGAGAAATTAGAATTCAATTTGTCTGGTGGTAAATGAAGTTAGCTGCCTAGCACCATCTCGGCATCTCCCACTCACTTGTATAATAGTCACTTTAGCTCTCTTAATTTCCCTTTTTGAGGTGATTCATGCTTTCTTTATCTTCCTCTTAGCCACTTGCATAGCATGAACCTACCATGCATGTTAGTCTTCGACAGATCCATTTCACCACCCCCATTAAGCTGCATGCATGTAACCCACTATTGCATTTAACCCACTTTCGGCAAATGAATATACCATTGTTAACAGAAAACTATTCTAGTCTCGGCCTCATCCCACTAATAGAAGTATCTAATCCTAAAAGAGCCGCAACAGCTCTTTGAACTTCAGCTGTTAATTTCTTCATATGGGGATTTAAGTCAAACTTGAGAGCATAGTTTTAAATCGTGAACGGTTTAAAAAACAATCGCGATCTTCATCGTATATCACGACTTACTATAATTCTAAAATAACGGTAACGGCATGCTTCAAAACCATTATATAACGGCCGTCATTTAAAACTATGCTTGAGAGTATAAACAAACAGTATTCTTTTATCTAGATGGAATGCATCATTCAACCACTTTGGACTTATTTCTCCATGATGAAACTATCTAAACTTAAATGTGCTACAACATCTCTTTCAAGTGGATTTTTTTCTTCACATGCAATGATTTAAGTCAAATTTGAGAGTGTAATGCAATATTATGTCCATTATTTTTTCTTAGATGGGATACATCATTTACCACTTAGCAGATTAGTTTTTCATCAAGTGGGTCTTTCCCCCCATTATCAAGAAGAATATGGGACAGTACCAAACTCTTTGAGAGGGATTTCTTCAGTGGATATGCCACTTCGCAGTATAACAATATGTTGGGTATAATATTATTTGAGCCTATGTCGGTTTTGTGCATATAAATTGCTTCTATTTACGCTGCTTGTCTCACAATTATCCTGGCTTAGCTTTTAGATATCCTGTTCACTGTCAAGATATGGAGCACAACTCCTTTAAGCTTCCCTGTGTTCACTTGCTTTGCCTTTTGCTCTTGAGTTCCCTGGTGTCATGCCAACTTAATTATAAATTCTATGATTACACGTGTCCTAGCCTGACAAAAATCATTCGATCTGGTGTTTTGTCTGCCATGACAAATGATACCAGGATGGCTGCTTCTCTCTTGAGGCTTCACTTTCATGATTGTTTTGTTAATGTAATCACTAAAAATAAAATAAAAAATCCCTTTCTACAATATTGTAAGATAATACCAGATCAAACTCCTCTGCCTCCATTCATAGGAAGATCATTGTATCTGTAAACCATTGCTATTAAGGCTGACTTCAGTTTTTTGTCTTTTGATTTCTTGTTTTCTTCAATTTCTATCTACAGGGATGTGACGGGTCGGTGCTGCTTGATGGAGGAGAGAAAAATGCATTTCCTAATCAAAACTCGGCTAGGGGTTTTGAAGTCATTGATGACATTAAGGCCAATTTGGAGAAGGCTTGTCCAGCCACAGTTTCTTGTACTGATATACTAGCTCTTACAGCAAGAGAGGCAGTTTATCTTGTAAGAAATTAAGACTCTATTGTACCTTTGCATACTACATAAGACCATCCTGCTTGTACTCTCATATTGGTTGTTTCTTCATGTCTTTGTCAGTCTGGAGGCCCATATTGGTTTCTACCTTTAGGTCGTCGAGATGGCCTCACGGCAAGTGAGAATGATGCTAATCAGCAGCTCCCAGGATTTTCTGAGCCTTTGGAGAACATCACTGCAAAATTTACCTCAAAAGGTCTTGAACTAAAGGATGTGGTTGTGCTCTCAGGTTTGTCTCCTATATCATAAATTCTATATAATCACTTGTCTTCCACTCCAAAGAAGATTTCGACTTGAAATTAAGATGATTACTGTTATACGTGGATTTTTTAAAAAATAAAATAAAACTCGTATATCTAGATTTGAATAAACATCAATCTCCAATTCCAAATACTAAATACAGGAGCACATACTATTGGATTTGCCCAATGCTTCACATTCAAGTCCAGACTTTATGACTTTGGAGGTTCTGGTAATCCTGATCCACAACTTGAGAAATCACTTCTAACGGGTTTGCAAAGTACGTGCCCAAATCAAGATGATTCTAATGCAAAATTGGCTCCATTGGATTCTGCTACTTCCAGCAAGTTTGATAACTTATATTACAAGCTTCTTTTGAACAATTCTGGGCTTCTCCAATCAGACCAAGCTCTCATGGGGGATAATACAACTGCTTCATTGGTCCTTAACTATAGCAAGTTCCCTTATTTGTTTTCCAAGGATTTTGGAGCATCAATGGTCAAGATGGCCAACATTGGTGTACTTACAGGACAAAATGGAGAGATCAGGAGAAGTTGCAGGTCGGTGAACTAGAAACTTGGTGTTTCCATAATGTACATTAACTTCTACAATCTTGTAATTGTAAGAACTAAATGTAGTTCTGTAACGAAACTGCACGTGACATAAATCTGATCCTTTACTAAGTGGTGTCTGAAAAAGGATATAAAAAGCACCAAATAATTTGCAAATGTCACTACTGCAATAGTAATGATAATCGTCAGCAAGATATGTAGCTGTTGACTCAGCAATCCATTCAATACAGAGATCGGCAACATTACTCTTATTCTCTCTATATGAGAGCATCACCACATTTAAATCTGAAGTTAATACTACAATGGTATTCTCTTTATCTTTTTCTTGATTCTTCAGTAATTGTTGTTGTTTCTTTCATGCCTTACAATTTATATGTGACTTTCTCTTTCGTAATGATAGCATTTAAAACTGTCACTAGGCTGTGATCTACATCTTGATTTACTATGCCCACTAAATTCTATACCTAGTCCTTTTGTTCTATGTGATAAGACCTTGTGCTTCGTCCTCTGCCACTTTGCTTTGTCTCTCTCTTTTTTTTTCTTTTATTGAACAAGCTATCTTTAATTATAAAAAACGATAAAACATCATTCAGAGTAAGATAACCAAATGCCATAACCAAACTCTCTTAGTTGTCTATTGAAGTTCTCAAAAACAATAGTGCTTGTAACTCATCATCCAAGACTAATTTTATACTTATTAACTAATTAATCAAATTCCGAAAGTCACTCACGTATTCAATAACAGTATATTCCATCTTTGTATTTTAAATTCATAAGCTTTCTAATAAAAAAACTTTATTTTTTTTTCATGTAGTCTTCCTTTCGACACACACTATCTTTTTTTTTTTTTTTCCATAATTCTTGAGCATCTATCTCTTTAGATATATGGTGAAACATATTATCTTCAACCCATTGTCCGATAGTTATAATAGCTTTCTTATTCTTTGTTCCAAGCATCATCAATCTCGGCAATTGATTTGGCTTTACCTAATTCAATTGGATCAAATAAATTTTGATAATAAAGTAAATCCTCCATCATTGGCTTCCAAATCGAATAGTTCAAAGCCATCAATTTGATCATAGTTTTTGAATTATTTTTCTCCATCTAATTTAAAAAATTATTACAACCAAAGCTTTGATATTGCTGTTGAGAATTAATCCCACTCCATATAAATTAGATTTTAGGAGAAAATAATTAAACCAAACACAAAAAAATAAATAAATAAAAGATAAAAAATTAAGAGCTGAAAATAAATAAATCGCAAGAGCACAACTACAAAAACACTAAAATTATATAGAAAACTCTTCTATCATGGATGGAAAAACCACCGAACTAACTCTAAAATTATTCACTATAATTAAGAAAACAATACAATCACTCAACTACGTGAACTTGAGAAGCAAAATATCGACAATAATACAAATTATCTCTCTAGTTAAATTTATCTTACCACAAAAACCTAGCTAAAATCTACGAAATTTTTATGTTTATGTAAAATCCAATATTATTTGAAAATACTATCTTAAATATCACAATTCTCTGTGACTGTAGTACCTAGAAATCAATTGTAGAAAAAACCCTAATATATAGTGCATAAAAAATCCTTACTTTCTTCTGAACAAGAAAGGCCCTTGCTTTCTTCTCTTTTCTCTCCAATTCCTCTATTTGGCAATTGTTCTAAAAGAAATAGCAAAGCTTTCTATTATACATGTATGTCTCACCTAAAAGAACTTTTCTTCTGTAGTTTTAGGATAATTTTTTTCCTATTCAACTTCAATCCTTTTCCTAATTAATCGTTTTCTTAATTAATTTCTTTCTTATAAAATTTTTAATGGGTTGTGTTAAGGACATTCATGAGCTGGACCTTAAACATATACCCAACACCCCTGCACCACCTGATCTTGAATCATTTTAAACCCCTCCCTTTCTTTGATTGAACAAGTTGACGTGTTGTTTGCCAATTAAATATTGACACATCTCCTAATCTAACTTAAAAATAGGTTAAAAATCACGTGATGTTCCTTTCCTGTAAGAATTTGATCAAAGTGAACTCTGTACTGCTAATCTGATGACATTAAACCTTTTAGCTCTAGATTTTGGTTAAGGATAAATATATAAAATCTCAATTTACCAAAAAGATTAGTACCAAAATCTCTCGCACTCTTTATACCATCTTTGAAGAATTACAATGTTCCAGTCTAACAAATAAGAGCCTTTGGAATTCAAGGAACCTTTCCATAAAAAGTCCCTAGCGAAACGGTCAATATCATCACAAATGTTTTTCTCAATTGACAAAGAGATTTTCTCCATGAACAATACAAATAAATAAGGAGACAATGGATCCCCCTACCCGTAGGCCACTTTTTTGGAGAAAAAGGCTGATGAATTTATGAGGTAGCTCCAAACATAGAAAGGCCCTTTCTTTCTTCCTAATGAAGTTTTGGCCATATGTATCAAGAAATTTCATGGGGAAAAATCTTCAAAAATCGATTATATTTAAAAAAAATTGGGTCAAATTTACCATGTTTTTGGAAATTTTAGTCAATTCAACCTAGAATAAATTGCAGTGAATTATAGGATGATCACTACACGTTAAAATTTAAAATTTTGGAAATGTGTCAAGAAATTAAGAACATAATGTTTTTTTTTTCAAACAAATAAAAAAAACTGTTCAGAACGTTAAACATCAATATCTTGTTAAAAATAATTTTTTAAGAATTTAGGAAATAAAAAATTAGCAGCAATTATACGTTTTTTTTTAAAACATTTATTAAAAAATATATTTTTTTTTAATGGAAAAACATCAACTTTTGGAGATGTTTAAGGAGTAAACAAGATCAAAATGTTTAGATAAAAAAAAAATTGCAAAGAAGCTCAGACATTCAATTTTTTTGCTTTAGAAATTAAAAGAAAACCTTTTTTTTTTTTTTTACAAAAAGTTAAATTCTTTTAAAATTTTAAATAAAAAAAAGACATAAATTTTAAAAAATATTTAACAAATAAAAATTTCAAAATTACCTAGCTATTAATTTTTTAAATAATTAAAAAATGAATTTTTGGAAAATTTCAGGGAATAAAAAAAAATTCCAAATGATCCATTCCGATTTTTTACTGTTTGATCATTTGGAATATCTTTATTGAAAAAAAGGATATTTTAAAAAATCGATTAAGAAAATTAAGGAAAAAAAAGAAAGATATGCTTCTACTGATCAACCTTAAAAAAAATTAAATCACCAAAATAAATGAGTTGTAAAAAGTTCTTACCGAAAAAAGAATAAGATATTTTTAGGATTTATTTCGTTTTTCTGTTTACATAGACTTGAATTTGCATAAAAAGGAAAGTAAAAATAAAAGCAAAAAATAAATAAAAATCTCAATCCTTCATTTGTTTTCTTAAGGGTCTTGTTAACTTTCATGAATGAAGGAGAATGAAGAATCATGAAGCTAATTCACGATTGAAGAACAGATGAATGAACAAAGGAAACAGAGAGAACAGAGTTCTTCATTAATTTATTAACTACAGCGTATCTTTTACCGTATCTATTTATACAAAGGAATTAACTACCTTAACAAATCAGTTAATTAACAGCTAACCAGTCCTAGCTGACTAACTACCATTTATTAACACCTTAACTAACTATAAATACATTTGCCACGTCATACTCCTAATAGGTCTAAATCTGTAAAACGTGAAAATATTCCAATCTGCATTTTCATACTTGAGCTAAAAGGACAACAGTTAATACATTTATATTCCAATTTGCTTATTCTTTACTAAATCTAACCAACACAATTCGTTTTCTTTGGCACAAAGAATTGATTAACTTTAGCAAACCTTCCGATCCGTTCTAACTTACGCCATCAGGGCCAAATAGCGACGTGGCATTGCTCTAACCGTTCTTGATTTGACGAGTGGCTAAATCCCTGTGAATGTCTCGCATGCTTGAAAATGACTGCCCCACAACTAGGGCAAACTTCACTTTTACCCTTACAAATTCATCCACGTTGCACTTCTACCTCTATAGTTATAAATTTTCCAACATCACATTTCTAATTCCCATAAAGTTCTAAAATTGTTTGTTTTAGGGTTTGAAGTGGTCTTGTGACTACCATAACATGTGACTACCATAACATGTTGGGATTCGAAAGATTAAATAAGAGGATAATATAAAAATAAAAATAAAATTAAGTTACTCATAAAAAAGAAAGATGGATTATTCAATACGTTAGAAGGTTATTCTTCTCTCTCATGCAAAAACAAAAATCATCAATAATTTATTCATAGAAACGGAATAAAAAGAGCAATACAATTTGTGGAGAAATTTTATAATACACCGGGAGTAATTAGTGGCATGTACGATGAGTTACTCCATGGGTCCACTTTGAGGAAAGAGAGAGACATACAAAAAGAGAGAGAGAGAATAGGAGAGAGAAAATAAAAAAATTTAAGTAGACGTGAAAATCTTTTTAGCACTTCGATGGATATAGATGTAATTTTTATCTTTTTTTATGTGTCTATCTCTCTCCTCAAAGTGGACTCATGAAGTAATTACTATACATATCACTAATTACTCCCGATGTATTATAAAATTTCTCCAATTTATGGGCCTGTTTAATTCAATGTTCCTTAATAATCTGCTTGTCTTAGCTTTTGTACTGGCAACAACAAATTCCAGAACCTTCGTAGTCTATACAAATCTTGGACATAAATATTGGTTGCATTCTTTTTCACTATAGCAACCGCTAATGTAGCTTTTTTTGTCGCATTGAATCCCTTCAGTAACGTGGAAACCTACGTATGTAAATAAATTAATAAATGTCAATTCATATTTATTTTAGTTTGTTCATATATATGCACACATCTTTGAACTTCTAATTTGAAAGTCAGTTCAATTTGAGAACATCTTTGCATAAGAATATATTGAGATTATTAACAAATAAATAGAATTAATATTATTGTGATGTGTAATGAAATTAATTTCCTATGCAAGATGTGATGG